CAGGCACTGACTGTCAAAATAAAAGTTCAGCAAACCGTCAAAATAAAAGTCCCTGACACATCAGTCGATGCCAGTAAATACAAACAAACAAATAAATAAAATGAAATGAAATAGGTCAACGACTACTTTTAAATATATTAAAGTACAAAACAACAACTATAAAAAACAATAAGGAATCTGAATATTTTCAGATATCTTATCTGGCATGTTTTATTCCAGATTAAAATGCAAAAATGTTTAAATTTAATATTTTTATTTTCAAAAAAATTATTTACGGCTAAGTATTTACAGTGTTTGCAGTGCATGTTCACTATTACGATTTTTTTTTTTATTACGTATTTGTTTATTTTTTTGTATTAGCGAATACCAGCACACGTCTAGGATGCGGATGTAAATTTACTGAACCTATAAAACAGTGCTGCACCAATCAGAAAATTTGAGAAACACTATGATCAGCCGGTACCAATCTGGTCACCGATATTTATTTTTATGTTCCAGTTAAGCCTACATGCTGCAGCAAAATACACCACACTGCGAAATAACAGGAATTATATGTAGTGAAATGTTAACACACTATCATTATGTCTTTTTTTAAAGCTTGAAACCAGTTCTGTAATGGGCAAAAACTGCTGAACAAATGCTTTAAAATATCTTCTTTTGTATTTCAAAGAAGTAGGAAACCCGAGGGAGTTTGGAACCACATGTGGAAATTTCTTACATTTTTGTGTGAACTTCCTTTAAGATTCTGGAGTACTTCTAGGTGACTAAACAAATGCAAGCAAATCTGTGACACTGACAATGTTAATTCTTTTGTGCAAAAGGTCAGATTTTCTTGCTTCCACTGAAGCAAGTAAGATGCTCTTTGGAATATTCGCAAATCATGCTGGGATAACATGGATCATCAGTTTTGCACAATCTCACAGAGTCCGTGTCAGCCTGAGCGCAAACTGACATTTTAAATAAAACCAGCATATAGCAAATAAGAAATATAGTTATTATATACACAATACAAATTGTATATTCTGACAACTGCTGAAATGTATCATGGTACAAGGTATTATTGATACTGTAATCACTGAATTTAAACTACATTACAAAACAAGCTGAAAGATTAAAGAACTTGTTATTGTGAGTTTTAGTTACTTGTTTGAAAAAGATCTCAAAATAACATTTAGAAAAAAAAATCGAAAAAAAATTATATAATTTGAATATAAAAGTCATTCTGGCTTAAATTCTGTTTTACTCAACTTAATTTTTTACTCACTCATTTACTCACCTTAAAGTCATTCCAAACCTGTATGCATTTCTTTCTCTTGTCTAACTCAAAATATGATGTATTAGAAAAAGGCTGAGTTTTTTTTCTCCATCCTTGCAATGAAAGGTTGTTTGGGACCCCAAATACATTCATTGCATGGGCAATGACAGCTGAAACACATTTTGAAGAATATTCACAAAGGTTTGGAACAACATGGGGTTGAGTAATTGATGGCAATTTTCATTTTTGGATTAATTATCCCTTTAAGAAACTGGACACTTAAACTAAATTAAGGCGGCACTTTGTCGTAAGGCGAGCTCGGGCTGATTAGAAATTCCCCACGGAGCAGAAGGGCTTGGTCTGTATCTGTACTGAGACTCAAGATCATGACAGTGGGGCCTCACCATCCTTCAGGCTTTGGGGTTTAAGCAGGAAGTGTCAGACTGTCGTGAGACAGGTTCGTTTTACATTTGTTCAGATATTCGGTGCGGGTGACAAGACACTGGAGCAAAGTCACTATAGAGTCAGAATTACCCTTATAACGATATCACAGAGCTGTGGGACACTGAGGAACCAGCGATAGCCAGCATACAAGCATCAGTGAGGAAAGTTGACATTTACTAAAAGACTAGCACACAACCTGATTTAGAGTGCTTTGAATTTTCATCCGTTGATGGAAATTAAACCACAGTGCATTCCGAAAACCTATTAGCCAAGTTGTTTAATCTAGGCTTTTTCACTGTAGTTTCACAATAATCATGCATGTTAGTTATAAATAATACCAGCACACGTGAATCAACTAGGCAACCTCACTAATCAACTAGCTGTGAAGCAGCTGTTTAAGCAATAATGCCAGACCTGACACTAATCCCAGACCTTTTTTAATTAAAAATAGATTTGTGAGAAGACCCTAATAATAATAATAATCATCATCATCATCCTCATCCTCATCATCACCATCATATGAAATGAAGTGTCTTTTAATTGTTACATAATAAATTTACTGGGATATTGGAAAATTAAAATTAAAATGAAAAATAAGAGAACAAAAAGGTAAACTTTTGGGGCTACATTTCCAGCAAAATTAACTAGGTTGTTCCATGGTTCCTAGGTTGTTTTGATTTTAATTATCACTATTATTATTATTATTATTATTATTTTTCCCTGGTTAATTAAAAAAAAAACACTGAAAGAAGAAAGCCAAAATATTAAATTAAATGGCATGGATAAATATTACAGTCAAATTACAGTCTTAACTAGGTTGTTCCATGGTTCCTAGGTTGTTTTGATTTTAATTATCACTATTATTATTATTATTATTATTTTTCCCTGGTTAATTAAAAAAAAAACACTGAAAGAAGAAAGCCAAAATATTAAATTAAATGGCATGGATAAATATTACAGTCAAATTACAGTGGAGTAGAAGGCAACATCATTATGTTATTTACATAGAGATAGGAGAATCTATTAATAAAATCCACTGACTTTAGTAGTTGCGTTATATGCCAGTGGTGACAGTTGGGTAAAAGAATATGTCTGGTGCTCAGGAAACCAAGGTACAATTCTAATTCCAAAATTAGTTGTTCTTCAGATATTCTTCTTTAAAAGAAAAAAAGTATTAGCTGTATGTAAAGTGACTCACATTTGGTTTTTGACCACTGAAAATGTGTACAGTTTAACAATTTACTCATTCAGCCACACTGAGATCCCTATATCTCTGGATCCGAACCATACAGGGCCTTACAATGAAGATACCAAAAGTCAACAGCTGCTATAGTCAACTTTTTTTTCCTAATATACCTACCAATGTATGTGTAAAAATAAATTAATGATGCTGTCATCTTTCTAAAGTCATTTTCACCTGTAATTTGGCTCCAAATCTCAAGTGAAAATTGCCATTTTGCCAAAATATCCATCCATGACATTTAATATTTTGGCTCTTATTACCATTTATCTGTCTTTCTTCAGGGAAAAAAGCTGGGCAACATCCTAAATTTGGTTTGACATAGAATGTTTATATGATAGAATCATTATAACTCAACTAACCCATCCCTAACATTGCCATTTAATTTCCAAATAAAAGCAGACAAAGTACAACATCAGAATGCCCTTAAACAATCAAAAAACAATTATTCACACAACCCTAATTTGGCACTAATGTCATCTCGGCGTTCTCTCAAGTCTGCCGCTTTAGCAGTGAGAGTTTGCTATGAGCAACAAACCGTATGAAGTCAATGTAGCATATTATGAAATCTAGGTTCCCAGAGTGCTGTAACGTTAATAATTACCAGAATCAAAAATAAGGCCTAAATTTACATATCCTACGGTGAAATAAAGGCAGTTGGGCTAAGCATTATCCTACAGAGTCACAATATCGGAGTCATTTTGTATTCATTGCTTTTGGGAAAATGAAGGACATTAATGGAGTTTCTGAGGGATTTAACAGAAAGCACTGCACAGCAACTATGTTACTTTATAGCTAAGTTTCCACACTTTATGAAGAATTTCAAGCAGTAGTTTACAAAAAAAAAAAATACACATACATATATATACATATATATACACTTTCATCATTAACTCTGTTATGTTGTACACTTCTTAATCATATCAAAGACATTTTTTAAATATCGTTTACCAATAACTTGAATAATTAATTTATAAATATTACATTTTTGAGAGTCACACTATTTGCAACCTGAATTAACTTTGCAGTGTCATAAAAAGGTCAAATTATCATATTATAATTTTAAGAGACCGAATTGACCTTAACACACAGTCATGCATGTCTCCAGTTTTCCTCTCTATGACTACATTTACATTCACAATGTTCTGAAGCATTGTGTAAATGTGACCATCATTTTCCGACATTTACACAAAAGAAATTTTGTGGCAAAGTTTAGCAACCTTGAACCTGACATGAAGTCTGAGTGGCCTAAATCTTTGCCACCAAAAGTCCATTGTATCATTACACAACGTTGAAGTGACAAAAAGTTACGCAAATGCTGCTTTCAAGGTTGTTGTTTTTTTTGCTTTCCCCACGTTAAATGCACCACATGACTTTAACTGATAACGATTTTCTATTAATATTTGTTCTTCTAATATTTTAACAAACCTTCTTCACTCTTTTCTCAAAAAAAAAAAATCAAATAATGAAGAAAATTAAACAAAGCACTCAAAATTGTATCAATGAATTGCATTTGTATGTATTTTGAATAAACTGACTTTTTTTTTTACCTATAATCCATGCCTTCTGTATTCATACAATGGTTTTATGCAAAGAAATAAAATTTAATTTCAAAATCTGTTATTCACTGATAATCTTTCATTCCACTGAAGCTATGAAATCTCACCTGCACTGAGATAAAACAAAATGAAAAAAAAAAAAAACGTCAATTTCAATGAGATTTGAGAACGGCAGCAGGAAAAGAAAAATGACTTTAATTTGGGTCTGTTTGTCTAACAAATCTGATACGGCTTTATAAGACTTCAATATTACAGACAGGTGTTTCAGACACTTCTATGGTGGTTATGTTTGCAGCTTCAAAGTAGTCATCAAGTCATATGGAAAAGAGCTGAATGAAGATTCTTCAAAAACTCTTATTTTGTCAGTAAAAAATAACAGCATACAGCTTTGAAACAACAATTTCCATATTTCAATGAACTATTCCTTAAAAGTAAAATGGAAAGGGCACCCCACGTTGGCTTGCAACATTGATGAAAATGTTGTCAGTAAAAGGCAGTTTACCTTGTGGTGCAGAGCTCAAAGAGTCAACTGCTCGCTTCTACTTCCTCTCCCTCCTTCTCTGCTTTTCTTGAATTCAGCCGAACAAGAGTACGATCTGAAAACAAAAGGGTCAATGGGTTAAAAATTTGCCACTTGTTCCAAGTTACATGTACTGACATTGAAATGCAGTGGAAAATTACAGACCCCGGTCGCCTTGCATGGAAAATCCCTACATTTATTACACAAAAGGGGGAAAGGCAGGCTTCTAAAAATTTCCATGAAAATTATATTCTTAAATTAACAGTTGGAGGGCAGAGTGTGGGTTTATGTTTAAGGAGCAAATCCTGACCAAAACAGGCCCGATTTCACAATATAGAGCTGAATGCTACTTCCGACCAAAGCATTTACAACTCAAATAAAACCACTGCATAAAAAAAGAGCATTAAAAATGCAGTCTATCTGCTGCTTTGACACCTCCATAGTGATGTTGTTTCTATAAGAAAGCTGAGTCTCTGTGTTTTCAGATTTTAAAGGGGAAAAAAAGAAACAGTTTTTGAATTTATGTGGCTCCAAATTTCTGAGAACACGTAAAAAACATGGGATTGTTTCCCTCTTGTAAAACCTAGCAATAAAGTTTTATGGTTCTGAAAATGTAAAAAAAAAAAAAAAGTTTGATATCTAGGTCACACGTGACATCAGCCACGTAAACCTGAAGATCCATACACTAAATGAAGATTCCTTAGAATAACTGTTCAACTGAAGCACACAAAATGCTGAAAATCCTTTGGGAAAGAAAAAAAAAAAAACACTGAGTTAATTCTATCATTAAAGGGATAGTTCACCTAAAATTCTGTCATATATTACTCACCCTCATGTCGTTCCAAACCCATAAGATCTTCATTCGTCTTCGGAACACAAATTAAGATTTTTTGATGAAATCCGAGAGCTTTCTGATCCTCTATAAACAGCAAGGGTCCTACCACGTTCAAGGTCCAGAAACGTACCGAGAACATCAACAAAATAGTCCATGTGACATCAGTGGTTTAACCATAATTTTATGAAGCTACGAGAACCACGTCACCCCGAGCACCATTTTGGAGAGCATCAGGACGCATGCGCGTGCTCTCCTCTGAACGTAAACAAGTAGCAGCGCGCATACATGTTGTACTTCAGCAACACCACGCGCATGTGTTGTTTACGTGCAGATCAAAGCACGCGCATGTGTCGTACTCTCCAAAAAAGTCGATAGGGTGTTGCTGCGGAGAAGAATTGTTGAATATAGGGCTGTGCAATTAATCGAAATACAGTTTTAATTTCAGCCTGCAACAGTTATAAAAATACAATTATCGAGATAAAATAATTATTGCGCTCCATTCCGCGGCCCCTTTTTAGCAGTGCACTTGGTGATTATTCACGTAACCCTCGTCGGTTATGTAATAAATGAACGTAAACAGTTGAGAATGAAAACACGTGTACAACAGTAAATTGGATCCGAGCGGCTCTTAAAGTGACAGCGGCCTATATTCCTGCTGCCGACTGTGTGCTTAATATTAATCAAACAGCAAAAGACTAAATCACAAACTGCTCTTGACTGAAGGGCATTTGATTTTTATGCGCACAAAAAGTATTCTCGTAGCTTTCAAAATTACAGTTGAACCACTGATGTCACATGGACCATTTTGTCAATGTTCTTGCTACGTTTCTGGACCTTGAACATGGTAGGAGCCTTGCTATCTCTGGAGGATCAGAAAGCTCTCGGATTTCATCAAAAATATCTTAATTTGTGTTCCGAAGATGAACGAAGGTCCTAGGGGTTTGGAACAACATGACGGTGCGTAATTAATGACAGAACTTTCATTTTTCAATGAATTATCCCTTTAATGAAAATTGGCAAAATAACAAATACTAAGAAACTGATCGATTCATTTCCAATTCAACATTTCCTTTATCCTGGTAATATAGTTTGTAATGAACTTGACTGAACGTGGAATGAATTTTGTACTATATTATATAAGCGCTAAAGAGGCCTTTTTTTTTTTTTTTTTAGGAGGCCACTAAATATGTATTCCTTTTTTTGTTGTTGACATTTTTTCATTTGCATTACAGGGATAGGCTAGTTCATCTAAAAATAATAATAAAAAGATAATTAACCTACCCTCATATTGTTACAAACCTGCATGACTTGCTTTCGTTTGTGGAACAAAAATGTCTCATTGGGGTCCAAGGTTGTTTAAGAACATCTTTTGTGTGCCACAGAAAAAGAGTAAGTCATACAGGAATGTCATGAGGATGAGTACATGACAGAATTTTCATTTTGAATGATCCCTTTAAAGCCTCTTACGTGCTGCATGGTCACCTTTTCTAGAATGAGATGACGAGAAAACACCAGGTCAAGGATGCATTTGTCTCATTTGTGAATTCAGTACAAGTAAAGCAGACTTGTTAGAATTCAAAAATAAAGAGAACTGACAAAACTACATTTCCACATACAAAAAGGTTGTCCATCTAGATTTCAAGGTCTGTGATGACAGAAGCTGTTAATTACCCTCAATGCATTTGAACGTCTTGTTTACCAGCATTTCAACTACTTTCAGAAAGATGACATTAAGAACAGTAACATGCCACCAAATTTCAGAAAATGAAAGAAAATAAAACGTAATGCAAAATACAAATATAAAATATAATGTAAAACGTTTTAAAATGTAAAAAGCAGAACAATGTACTCTTAATAAAAATATTTTTAAACATTTGCTGACTAAACTTGCCCGCCCCACCCGTTTTTTTTTTTTTTTTTACAAAATACTGTTAAATATTTAAAATATTTGTGTTCCATGCAACGCGACTTGAAACTAATATGAAAAGCTGTCTTCAGTTCATTGAAAAGGAAGCTCCAAATATTCTCACTTCCCTCATGTAACTAGCAAAATTATTCAGACACCCAACACGTGTGACCATTAACATATGAGTGTTCAGCAGCTTTCTGTTCATGACACAATAACAAAACCCCATCTATTTTGCACCCACTGTCAGGTCTGACTTATTACAACATTTGCAGTTGAGCTTTGGAAGAAGAAAAAAAAACAAATCAATATGTGTGCGAAAGGAAAATGTCAGCTGGTAAGAGTGGCTTTTCATTTAACGATATTTTGTTTTCTTATGACACTGAGGAAATTTGCTGCGTTTACAGCTTGACTGATAAAAACATGTTAATATTTAAACGAACACAAAACCGCATGATGATGAAGTTTGCCTAAAAGGCATAAACACAAAAACAACCACAACTAACCAATCTATACACAGACTAAACCATAGCGGCAGTAGAAAGTGTCGAATATCAAAAAGACATCCCTGCAAGCAAAATTAATTGTAATTTCTTAATTTTTCGAAATATCAACCGACAGATGGCGCTAATTTCGCTGCAAAAACAAAAAAAAACCACATTTACATTCTAATTTAATCGAAAATAACGCCGTCTTTCAGTAATCACACTTTCATTACTCTCATCTGCATCGAACTTCACTTCACCAAGTTGTTTAGTTAACGACTGAACAGTTCGAGCCAACCTTTCTTTCCAGTCGCCAGAGAGGAGTAAAATTCACAGGAAAATTCAGCAAACATGGCTGCTGCGTGTGCTTTTTGTGTTTTCAGATTGTACCCTACCCCGTCTGATTTCAACTCCACAAATTTCCTGCAAAAGCCTCCGCTCGATCCAAACACACAGACAGCAGGACAGAAAGACTGATGCAACAATTCACTGCAACACAAACTCGCTGCAAAACTTTATTTCGAAAGCAGCTCCGCAAAAAAGGGGGGAAAAAAAAAAAAGAGAAAAAAAAAAATCAACAGATCATGCACTGCACAACACATTCAGATCACATTTGAGAGAATTGTGATGAGATCTTACCGCGCACACAAACATGAGCTCCGGATGATTGCGATCAAAGCGCCCGTTACATTGTATCATTTGTGAATGAGGAAAGACGCGGGTACTCCACTTTGTTACCTCCCAAAATGATGCGGGTCATGCGGAGAAATTTTCTGGGAATGAAGAAATCCTCCCCTTCGGATCTCAAAATGACGAAACGAGCGGGTCTTTCCGGGGCACTTTTTTTCTCTTCTAGAAACAGAACTCCCCAAATTTGATTTCAGTGAATTTGTCTGTTCTCTTCCTGATACGTCCACGCCACTGGCGGCCGATGCTTCACTGTTGGTGAGGTATATTAATGTTGCGGTCTGCCCCACGGACACATTCATCCGCCATCACGCAAGGGCAGGTTCTCAATTTGCAAATGCATTAATTTCACACAATGCCTTAATGTGGATGGCATCACGTCAGCTGGCCCATCTTTTGGGTTAGATAAGCAAAATAACTCAACTGGCTTCTATGTAATAGCAAATCTGACCGCGCAGAGCAAGGTGTTTTTTACATTTATGACCAAACTACTTTTTCATCTGCTTGGATGAAGAAAACTCTTCTGTTAGACTCACAAGTTACTTGTTTCACTGTTTGTTGCCTAAAGTTTAACTACAGTATTTTGAGCAATTTTAGTATAATTTTTTTTTTTTTTTTATATATATATATATGTGGCAAGTATATACATGTCTAGATTTACAGAAAAGTAAGATTATATCCACAGCGCATTTTTTCTGCACCAAAAACCATGACAAATTATGAAGTGAACCTCAAATCAAAGGACTTTTATGTATACTGTGCGGTTTCCTTTCCTCCCCCCATCTTCACTTCTCAAATGGGTTCCGTCTCGTCAGCGCCTCTAGCGGCGAGTCTGCAGATGGTCTGAGGAAGAAAAAAAAAATGTGATTCATGAAATTTGACAAGCAAATTCCAATTTTCAAAAAGACAGAAAAAAAGACACTGGAAATATCAGTGTTTTTTTTTTATTTTTATTCTCATTTATAAGCTTGCCAATACATCCTCACAAATCTCATATTATGTAGTATTTTTATATACAGAATGAATACCAAAAATATATTCACTCTTTATTCCTCACCTAGACTGTTCATTGTGTGTTTATTTCAAAATCCTAAAAACTTTATAAAAAAAATATATATATTTTTTTTTAAGTGCATTAGGCTATAGGCTATTTGCTGGCTTTTTATAAAAAAATAAAAAAAATTTGTAAACGGTGTAGTATTTACCAACCCACGCTGTAATATCTGTGGGCAAGTTGTATAAAAAAAAAATACAGAACAAAACTGAATTTACAACATTTATAAAACAAAAAGTATTATTATCCTGAGAATACAGTTATTTGAGTTTAAAGCGGTTTGAACATGCTTGAAACCTACGTACAAAACCACAGCTTTTGCCTTTAGATTTTAACTCGAAACATTACAGATACAACAATTGCAGTTATAGTCCTTTGAGATATCTGATGTATTTACATTTGTGACTGTATGTGCAATCGGCTGCATCTGCATTTGTAAAGGTGTCACCCAAATGGCCCATGCAGCCAAACGGCACATATACAGGGAAATGACCAATGCAATTAGAATTTCTAAGGGATTGTTTGCAGTGTCTCCAGTGGGACGTCCTAACAGTACAATGTCTATTGTTTGGGACACATTTATTTTTAAAAATAAAGTTCCGTTCAGACAGTATTTGGGTTAAGATTCTTGGAAGACTCACATGCTAACATCATTGCCGAAGAACTGTGCTATAATAATAATAATAATAATAATAATAATAATAATAATACCTTGACCACAACTTTGGTCAAGCTTCCTGATTTTATGCATTAGAAGAATACATTGGTGAAGCACGCAAAAACTACCGAGTCAAATATAGCAGTCAAATACACATGGCAACTCCCTGCTGGAAAAAAAAAAAAAATAAGAACTAGAAACCATCACAGAAATTCTAATGTTTTTCACTACAGATACCATTACAAACCATTAACTGTTAACCATTGAAACCATTAACTAATGTTTTCCAATAGCGGTATTACCAAGTTTGCAGTTTTCCCATCACAATTGGGATACTTGTAAACTGTTGCCAAAGGCAAACTTTTTTCCTTGAATAAATTCTTCTCCACAACTTTGGTCAAGCTTCCTGATTTTATGCATTAGAAGAATACATTGGTGAAGCACGCAAAAACTACCGAGTCAAATATAGCAGTCAAATACACATGGCAACTCCCTGCTGGAAAAAAAAAAAAAATAAGAACTAGAAACCATCACAGAAATTCTAATGTTTTTCACTACAGATACCATTACAAACCATTAACTGTTAACCATTGAAACCATTAACTAATGTTTTCCAATAGCGGTATTACCAAGTTTGCAGTTTTCCCATCACAATTGGGATACTTGTAAACTGTTGCCAAAGGCAAACTTTTTTTTCTCCCTGGTTTAAAGTATTGCAATATTGTGTACACTATAATAGCCCAAACTGCATGTTTTGAATATTGTACAATCTACCAATGATAAAACGGTGCTACTTTGAGTTTTGTGAGGGGAGGGCCTTTGAGCTCCTTTGTGACCGTTTATGATTACTACTAGTGATTTTCAAGTTGAAGTTGTGTTTAACACATACCAGTGACTGTAAATTGTGTATTTTAGGATTGGGAGTGGCAGGTGTTGAGTTTTACAATTTGGATAGGGTCGCTGGGCTTGTTTTGGGCTATTTATGATTGGCCTTTGGGCTGGTTTGTTACACAGACCTGGCAACCCTGTCCAATAGTGTGTTTTGGGCCATGTTAGGATTTATAGAATATTATACATAAAATGTATTATATATTTTTATATATGATATATTGATCTCCTTAAAATAAGTAAGCTTAACCAGGAGAAGAATTTATTGAAGTACAACACAGTTCTTCAGTAGTGATGTTATGTTGGCCTTCAAAAAAAAAAAAACGTAATGCAAAGTTCAGTGTTATTTTTCAATAATCCAAAAGTCGTCCAATAAAGTGCATCCATCCGTAATAAAAAGTGCCTCACACGGCTCCGGGGAGTGATTAAAGGCCTCCTGTAGCGAATCCATGCGTTTTTGTAAGATAAATATCCACATTTAAAACTTTATAAACCCTAATCTCCAACTTCCGTTAACTGTTGTATGCACGTTCACAATAGAATAAAAAAACGTAATGCAAAGTTCTCTCTGTGGGACAGAACTTTATGCATGAAGACAAAAGGGCTACAAACAATACTGTTAGAACCCCACTTGAGACCCCTTAGAAATTGTAATTGTATTGGCCATTTGGGTCACAGACCCAAATGTGCCTCAGATGCAATCAGATTTCAGTTGATTGCATCTGAGGCACAGTCGCAATGTAAACGCATAACATTAGGGGGAATTCAGGTGGATTGAAACACTTTTTCCAGTCATGAACTTGCATTGATATAATTAATATGCCTTGGACGTTCTTCATGTTTTGAGCAATTGGCTGTTCGCTGCAGAATTTGACACTTTTGGATAATTTGTATAGCACATGTTGTGAACCTGCTGAACCAGGTTTGAGTTGTTTGGTTTTAAATCTACTCTGAAACTTTTGTTCAGCTACCTTTGTGTAAAAGGCCTCAACCTCCAGGGGTTTTCAAATCATTCCTCAAGTCCCTCCAGCACAGGATGTCTCTCATGTTAAACCCAGCTGAATGAACTCATCAGCTCATCTGTGCTAGTAGTGAGGAGGCTCCACTAATGGTTTGAAAGCCCTTCTGATGTATCGGAAATCTCCCCTATATGCCTTCATTCACTATTCCCACATTTGTCTAATATTGAAGGAGTGAATGAAAACAAATGAAAGAATTTGGACACCATATGAGGCGGAAGGTATGAGACTTTGTGTGTAGCCTGTGTCTGCTGTTATTTGATTAATTTATGTATTTTTTTTTTTATTGTTTGTCTCCATATTTTAACCACTCACTTTAAAGGGATAGTTCACCCAAAAATGAAAATTACCCTATGATTTTATTCACCCTCAAGCCATCCTAGATGTATATGACTTTCTTCTTTCAGACGAATCCAATCGGAATTATATTTAAAAATGTCCTGGCTTTTCCAAGCTTTATAATGGCAGTGAATGAGTGTTATTTTTCAATAATCCAAAAGTCGTCCAATAAAGTGCATCCATCCGTAATAAAAAGTGCCTCACACGGCTCCGGGGAGTGATTAAAGGCCTCCTGTAGCGAATCCATGCGTTTTTGTAAGATAAATATCCACATTTAAAACTTTATAAACCCTAATCTCCAACTTCCGTTAACTGTTGTATGCACGTTCACAATAGAATGCCGTTCTGGTGGATGACATAGGTGTAGCGACATAAGTCTTGCGAGAACCAACGTTTGTTTACAGGAGCAAAAGAAGCAAAAGTTTCTTTACTTTGGCAAAGAAAAACCAGTCTCCTCTTGGCTTATATCAAAATCCTCCGACATTTGTCTTTACAAATCCTTGTTTTTTTACTTCTAATTCGTGACCATTGTTTTGTTTTGCTCTCTCCTGTGCGCTTCCGCGTTCGTCACTTCTCACATACGCTAAGCCGACATCCTATACATAATCTGCTGGAACGTCGTTCTATTGTGAATGCAGGTACGACAGTTAGTGGAAGTTAAGAGATTAGTGTTTATAAAGTTTTAATTATAGATATTTTCCTTACAAAAACACATTGATTTGCTACAAGAGGCCTTAATTCACCCCACGGAGCCGTGTGAGGCACTTGGATTGCTGCGCTTTATTGGACTTATTTTGGACTGTTGAAAAATAACACCCATTCACTGCCAATATAAAGCTTGGAAGAGCCGGGACATTTTTAAATAACTCCAATTGGATTTGTCAGGAAAAAGAAAGTCATATACACCTAGGATGGCTTTAGGGCGAGTAAATTGTGTGGTAATTTTCATTTTTGGGTGAACTGTCCCTTTAAGGGAACACTGGTCATTTAGAGTCTACATATGAAAATATTAGGCCTAACTGATGTTTCAGCAGTGCTGATTTTTCAGTTGTCTACCACTAGGTGTCAGATTTACTAGTCTGACTATTCCTGCCATAGAAATGTATGGTAAAAAAAAAATATATAGTATTGTGCTAGTATGTGGTTCCAAATTCAGCATGAATCTCATCAAAAATGTATTCAAAATCCATATAACAACAAAAGTGATAAAGTTAATTCTGCTATTGTGCAGAACTTTGAGGATTCCATACGTGTATGGGAAGATAATTATTAGCAAATATATAAAAATCAGCCTGCTGCAGTTTTTTTTTTTTGATCGATATTAATTTACATTTCATACTCTTAGAAAAAATCCCTCACAGACTGGCCTCCGTCTGTCTATCATTCTTTCTATCTACAGTGAAGTCTAAAAGTCACAGACCACTATTGCAAATTATTTAATTTGTTATTTTTTTCCTTATGTAATTCAGTATTTAATTGTGAAACTTTGAATGAAATCATTATATACAAAGATGAACATTTCTTAGTATTTGTTCTCTCCCCCCTTTACT